GGTCAGGGAGGCTCAGCCATCTGCCATGGGTCAGTTAGAACGGTGAGGAGAGACGGTGGAAGGAGACAGAAAAGAGGGCATAAAAAAACTGAGATTAATATTTCTAGTAGTAGTAGGTGTGGCCTACACCTTTTTCTATGTTTGTTTGATTCCTACTGTCACTTATAAAATGTTATTAAATAATACAGTTTATATAACAACGCTAAAACATTCTGGATGTCTTTGAATTAAAGTAGTTTGCATACTAATTGCAATTTATATTCTGACTACACTCTAGCCTTGTGTGTATAGTATTTTGTATTGAATTTTATTTTATTTTTTGTTTAGTTTAGTTATTTATTTTCATTTATTTGTGTGTGGGGAACTCATAAAGTAAAAATGTCATTGCTAAGCACCACTGCTGTGCGGCATACATGACAATAAACCTCTTGATTCTTCCTAAATTAACCAAATAATAAGTCGAGATTTGTGCTTGAGTCTTCACCAATGGTAAAAGTTTAAATCTTCAGTAAGCACAAAAGCTGTGAGCTACAGATAAACCTCAGCTGGTGTTTCAGTGTGATTGAAAATTTCAAATTCAGTTGCTTTTCTGTTACAAACCTTCAGCTGGAATAATGAATTCTGCTGCTTTTACTGCATCTAACAAAGCAGCACTTTCCTTTGTTCTGCTAAAGCTCGTACAGCTCAGGCAACATGAACAATAACCACAAATGATGCAGTCCCCCCGAGACCTACTTATAACAAACGAACTCCCATGTTGTGACTGTGATTTATGTCCCGCTTGAGATAATTTAAAAAAACAGAAGGGACTAAAACATAACAAAGCAGATGGAATGAAGCAGAAATGAGAATAGAGCAAAAGTGGACTGGCTTCTTAGACCAGCTTGTAATTATTAGAAATGACAGAACATCATAGTGAGATACATTCTGTCCAAAAGGATCATCTGTGCGGTCAGCAGTCTGTAAGATTTCAAACGTGACATACCCAAGCTATCAAAGAGCGAGAACCAATCACCATCCCTTTCTAGTTTTAATCATGAGGGACAATTACAGAGGAGAGCCACAGACGAAATTACCACCACACAGACTACAAAGCCCAGTCTTCAGAGAATCGCTTCATCTCCTTCATTCCATTGTCTCGCTCTCTCTCTATCTGAAATCCTCTCTCTGTGTTTTCTCTCTCGTTCTCGCCTCTTTATTCTCCTCTGCAGTCTCCCACCAGAGGAGAATAATGCATGCTGGTGTTTTCCCCGCATCCTACAAAGAAAATCTTGGCATGAAGACTTGTGTAATCCCTCCAAAGCAAATAGGAACGAGGCCTGCAGTTGCAGCTCAGTCTCAAAGGATTGAACCACAAGTCTGTAGAAGGATGTGTTGACACAGCTGTAATTTAAAGACAAAAACCCAGCCTGCAACACTGTAAGCACTCTTTGAAAATCAGCTATTACTGTCTGAATTCTTTCTAGATTGATGCCTGTTTTTATGAATACAAATATAGAAGAAAACATCAAAGACCAGGTTATAGAACTGCCCTTTTGTAATGAAGTCTTTAACAGACGATGTAGTGCAGTGACGAGAGATATTTTTATTCAACCGCTAAAAATAAAAAGCAGACACAGGAAATGCACTGTGCTCTGAAGTGGTCGTTTTGTAAAGACGATTTACATATCACTACATGAGATTGTTTTGCTGTCATACAGCACTTTTGTTACATAATATTTCAAAATACATCCTACAAAAATGACCCAGTATTACTGGACTAAATTACCATCAATTCCCAAAATAACTAATAACTCTTCTTAAGGTTTAGTTTAATCAAAAGACTCTGTTGCTGCAGCTTAAATGTCGATGATTCAGAGCATACATCCAGAATCTTTCACAATGCAAAAATCAAGCAGTTTTTAGATATTGCTTTGGACAATTTCTGGTGAATCAGGTCAGGATATTTTCCACAACTGTCCTTTCTCACATGCAGCAAACAGCAGGAAATAATCTACTTGAGATGTCTTTGCACTGGTAGGGTTGGTACAATACTAGAATATCAAACCCAGTACCAACACTTAACTACTTGATGCCATTTTGACACCACGGGGGAAGAATGTTTTTTCTTAAAACAAAGATAAAAATAGTACTAGTCTGGATGTTATATGGCATTTTTCTACTTTCGTGGAGGACTCAAAGCACTTTTTACACCATGCCTCGTTCACCCATTCATACAAGCACTTTTTTTTATGCCTAAGTGTTGTCGATCTAACGTTCACACTTCAATGATCGAAGAGCAACTTTGGGTTAGTTTCTTGGCTGAGGATTCTCTGGCATGCTGCCACAGAGCAGCCAGGAATCAAACCACCAACTTTCCAATCACTGGATGACCTGCTCGACCTCCTGAATACAGCCAGACCACCAATAACAACAATGTCAGTCACAGGACTGTACTTAAGTTGTCTGACATAGTGCCAAAAAATACAGTAACATAAGTACAGCCCAAAAGAATAAAATAAAATAACAACAAATTGAAAACAATATTGTGAGGTTGTCAGAGGTTGTCCCGCGCTCGTCATGTCTCATTGCTGATCAAATAGAGTTGGTAAGGCTGTCGTTAGTGGCTGGGAGAGTTTTTCCTGCCTCAGTCACACTGTAGACACATATAACTGTATTATCCTGTTTAATGAACACCGTCTATTAATCGTACTACTTTAATAATAATAGATTGCTAGTGTGACTGTCAGTAATTGCTGGCTACTGTTTATGTGTTTGTATGTCAGCTGGAGGAGGCAGAGGCGCCACTCTTGATATCAATACTGTTGCAAATAAGTATTTAATCCAGTAGCTGTTTTTAGTCGTGATGAGTACCTGAGTATCAATGGTTTCAGCAAGAAAGCTCAGTCAGACTATTGAAATGTGCACTGACTTTGTACTGTAGAGCTGGAACACTAAAGCTCCATTAACATCTGATCCAAGTCTGTTGGACATTAGTGTTATGAAATGACTCACATACAGCCTTAAAGCTGTGATTGTGTGTGAACATTTTTTAACAAGCAATTTGATAATAAGCGACATAAAGAAGCTAAAGCTTATCTGCTTATTATGCATCACATTATTCAACATTACAACCATGTTTTGGTGGTCTAACCTGATTCCTAACTATAAATAACTTCTGGGTTTTTTTGAATTGCACAGATGATGTTCAACACCAAGACAGGATTTTTTTGCTATGGAGAAAACAGAACAGAGTGGACGGCCAGCTGTGATCTCTGCTCTGTTCCCTTTAGTTTAACTTAACCAGGCTGGAAAGAGAAGCACGGCTCTTCATTACACACTGCTGCAACACACAGCAAGACTCACCATCTGGCTTCTTATCTCGTTTTCATTCTCTACCTCTGTTTGTCGCTCTCGACCTTGTCTCTACCTCTTAAAAAGATTGAGTAGGAAGAAAGGGAGAGAGAGAGAAAGGAGAAAGAAAAATGGTAGGAACAAGGCAATGCGGAAGAGAAGGTAAAGAAGGAGAATGGGGGGAAAAACAAGTGCAAAGAAAAAGCAGAGAGAGAAGAAAGGTGAGATAGACAAAGATAAAGTGTAAGACATTCCTTTTCTCTCCTGTTCTGTCTCTATCTTTTTAATTCTCCCTCGCTTTCCTTCACTCCCTAATGAAGTTATCTGTCTTCCTCTGTCACGGTTTTCTCCTGTCTGGGTTTTCCTCAGATAAACAAAGCTTGGCAGCAACAAAGCCTGAAAGTAAAATGAGAAGTTTTTGCAGAATCTGTTGGGGAAAGAGAAACATTGTTTTCATGGCTGAATTTCCATTTCCTGTTACTATCAACTACACATTTTATCATCGTGAGTGCCGCAGATGTCACTTCCCCGTGACAACCACATCAGACAGCACTGAAGAAAACACTGTCCGTCTTAAGTTTTGGTGATTAAGGAGATTAAATTATAAAGTCTTTCCCACCTGTGACCTGTCTGATGATTTTAATGTTGTTACCAATATTTTAGGATTAAAGCTGCCAATAGCTGTTTGATGGTGGATAAGAATTAGCGCTCAATTAACCCTGCACCTGCGTTCAATTCCCAGCAGTGAGGCTTCAGTTTTGAATGCAGTGGTGTTATTGACACAATCAAACAAATGTGTCCAAAATGCTGACTTTAAGTCATTTGATTACATGTAATTTTGTTACACAAGTAATAGGTGTTGAATTTAAAAAGGATCTGGTTAAATGGTCTGAATGGTTAGTATACATTCAGATCATACAAACCACAATTATAAAGATATGTGTAGATGGTAAATGGACTGATTCTTATATAGCGCTTTTCTACTCACTGCATGCCATATCACTGTTTTCAGTGCCTTCCGACTAACATTCATACTCCGATGGAAGCATTGGAGAGCAACTTGGGGTTAGTTTCTTGCCCAAGGATATTTGGCATACAGGCAGGGAGCTAGGGATGTACCCACCAATGTTCCAATCAGCAGATGACCTGCTCCACCAACCTCCTGAGCTACAGCCCGATAAGGCCTCCTAGATGCACTGAGGACTGAAACAGAACAAAGTCTCCCAGCAACTTGAAAGCTTGGCAACGTACCTTTCCAGCTCTGCAGTGAAATATGATGATATGACGGCTATGACAATGTTTCCGGCAGCGTCAGCCCAAATGATAAATGTTTTTTCTTGTTGACTTTTTCAGTGTCCTAACACACATTCAACTAGACTCCCTCCCAACATTATTTTGACCCTCCTTTTCTCCCTTCCTGTACTTTGAATTCGTTATAACCTTTTTCTGTCCTTGTTGCCTGTGTGTGTGCGATCCTTGTCCTGGCTGCAGCTGCCTTGTGGGTGACCTGTTTGGGTAGGTCATCCTCTGAAAACTCAGCAGCATCCTATCTCGCTGAAGGTGGACTACGGTGCCACCAGACTTCACCTCATCTACTTTATGAGCTTGTGCACACACACAAACATGCTCACCCCAGCTGTCGCTTGTTATCCTTTCCCTTTTTTCAGGCACCTGGCTGAAGTCAGAGGAGACAGTGGCGATGAAAACAAAGAGAGCTGACTTTGCTGCTGCCTTCCTGCGTGGACGGATGGTGGTCGCAGGAGGACTTGGTAAGAGAGATGAACTGCAAACTAATTTCTGCTGATCAGCTTGATTGAAAAACCTACACACAAGGACTTGATGATTTGTAATCACTTTTTACTGCCTGAACACTTTGGATTGCTGGGCTTTAGATAGTCTGAATAAATTATCAGTGGCAGTTTTGTTAACTAAGCAAAATCCTGAAACTTCTCTGTAAACATGAGCTTCCCCTGAGAAATCTCCTGCACACCAGCAAGTATAACAAGGCCTCACAAGCAAGTTCAAACATTTGATACATTTTACTGTAACAATCAAGAGAAGATTATTATCTCCATTTGCAGTAATGTATACTGTAATTTATACTGGCATAGCTCTCTTGTGGGACCTCCATGCCCTTCCACATGCATACATGAAAAGCCAAATACCAGGACAGCAGTAAGAAGATCCCAACACAGTACAGAGCAGCCATCAGTGACACAGATAAGACATTCAGTCAGAAACAGAATGAAAGGACATGTTGGGATGGACGTGGGTTGCAGACTAAATACATTTTAGTCTTAGCTTTGTAAACTGGATGTATAGAGGACTAGAATAAAGCATAGAGATTATTCGCTGAGCTGTTCTTCTCCATTCTTTAGGTCATGAGCCTTCAGCACTAGACACTGTGGAGGCCTTTCATGCTCAGAAGAAGAAGTGGGAAAGGTTGGCTCCAATGAACTTCCCCAGATGTTCCGCTTCTTCTATCGTCATCAGAGACCGCCTCCTGGTAGTGGGAGGAGTCAACCAGGTACACATGGACTTAGTATAAGTGGAAGGGTTATGTATAGTCTGTAGAGTAAACCAGAGAATAGTTGCATTACCTCACCGCTGAACAATCAGGACAGCTGTTGGTATCCATAGTGACAGATGCTGCCTCTCATAAGCCACAGTTCACCTGTTTATTTGTTTCTAAACCTCAGCAAGCAGCTGTGATTTCATGCCGAGCGGCACTCTGTGGTGAAGGACTAGTGAGGAGTAATACGTTCTGAAAAGGACCTTAACAGTCTGACTACCTGCTCACTGCACATCTGTCCCATTGAGATAGAGCCTCTGCTGATCTGAGCCTGCTTTACACAAAATAGCTGTAAGTGGGCTGAAAATAACATCCCCACTCACACTGGTATTATTAGCAGATTCCCTATCCAGTTAAAAAGATCTTTATTTGCATTTCCATGCATTCTTCTTCTTGTCAAAACTTGGTGACTACATTACCCACAATGCAGCCATATTTTTTTTGCTTTTCCTGCTCCAGTGGCATCACCTGAGGACATTTGTCAGACTTCACGCAGCTCCCTCTGGGACCTCAAATGACTTTTTACAAAGTTTTTCCACACATGCAGTAGTACTCCTTGTTACCTGTAAACAGACTTTGATGTGTAAAAGCTCTGGAGTTTCCCTTCGAGCGCACTTTATAAAAAGCCTTTTTTGAAGTAATGTGAACAGAAAAACAAGCAGATCTCTGTTGTGTGTCAGGTTCTGAATTCAAATCCACAAACAGCAGCAAAAGCTCCCCTGGCAGGAACTCCACTGCTTAAATAGTGAAAGCAGAATTATACTATTTAATATCAGGTTCATAGTGAACGAGCTCACTGCCTTAGAGGCCTAGAGACCAGCCAAATAAAATCCCTCATCTGATTGCTTTGGTTGTTCTAAGACTGCAGTGTTAACTTGTAGTTTGCATGAAAGATGCAGACCGGACTCACCTTTTAGTCTTCAAGCTGTATTGGAACTTGAAGATGTTTGACACACGACGGAAACAGAGCATGTAGAACTTCAGTGTAAAAGTAACAAAGCAAAACCAACATTTTTCACTGCAGATCATTTATCTGAATTTCAGGAGCTGGGCTGCCCTCCAAACACTCTACTTCGAATGATGCATCTATTAATTAACGTCCATTTCTTTTTGTTTCACTGCTCCATCCTCCCTCCCCCTCTTCTCCGATGTCACCATCTCAGAGGTATTGGAGGGTTTGTCATCCACATTTGGGGTTGGGATCCTCGGTAGTGAAAAGGTTGACCCACCTCTAGGCCTGTGTGACCGGGGCCTAACTCTGTATTTAACAAGGAAAAGGTTTCGTTTTCAAACACCACAAATCTATTAACCGCAGCATGCATTTAAATGTAGTTTTAATTTAGCGGTGTTATATTACATCACATACTCCACTAGTATTTATTTGACTTTTAAATAATCTGTCTGAGAATATATGTAGACTCCAAATCATTCAACCTCTGTTAATATGAGTAAGAAAATAGTATTAGCTGATAATAAGCAAATGTACACTGCACATTAATGGGAACCATTTGTCAGTGGAGCAGATTGTGAGATTCAGTATTCAGCATTTTTCCAATTATTTCCAATTAAACAGCAGTGCAGTGTTTTTCCTGCGTAGAGAAAGACCTAAAAGATGTTTTAGCAGAACAAAAAACACCAACAGTTTTTTTAATAACCAGTTTTTTTAATCGTACTCTTTTTTAATCGTACTCTCAAGTATAAAAGACAGCGAGACACATAGAACTGTTAAATAAAGTAATACACTCACTGATCGACGCAAAATGACTGACTTGCATGTGCAGTCACGCTCCCGCCTGCCCCATCGGAAGGCTGAGTCCGATCTGGAAAAAGGCCACAGTATTACTTCTAACTATTTACCTTTAAAATAAGTCCATCTCTTGCTTTGTCACCGGTCTGTGGTCCTGAGCAGTAACCTGCTCTGTAAAAGCAGCTCCAATTCACGAGTGATAGCCTGTCAACACTGAAGTGGACCGCGCTACCAGCAGGCTAGGAGGAGCGGACATGTCCGCTGAAGGTAGTAAGTTTATTTCAGGTGAGGGAGGAGGAGGGTCAGGTAGCAGTCAATAACAAATTTATAGTCAACACAGTCGTATCTATTTTTATGCCCAGTTTCCAGGTTACGCTTGGAAAAGGTTAGACTCAGAATGGCATGGTAGGTACAGACATTGATCAGTTTTGACCATTTGATTAAATCCTGGATGGAGGAGATAGGATCTGGAAAGAGTACATTTAATAAACATAGCATCACTAAATGGAAAAAGGGGCACATTATGTCAGTGAAGGCAGGCCGACAACAGCAGAGCCACATCATCAGCACTTTCATACCTGCAGTCCAAGCTGCACCATCTGCTGGCAAGAACGAGTGATGCTTCAGTAGCAGCACATACACAAAGTTCAAGCCAGCATCATATATGCTTTCAACTGTTTCAACAGTCCGTGTATCACCAAATCTGATGAGGAGCTTCAGTCAAAGTCAAAAAGACTTTATTTATCCCCAAGGGGCAATGTAAAGTCCATGTGAAGTCCATGTAAAGTCCTGTCCTCTTCTACGTACTGAAGGCTTAGATTTAAATGTATGCTTCCAATTCAGTTAATAGATGAAGAGATTGACAATGAAACAACACAACAGCACAAGTGCTTCATACACAGTCCCAGAAATAAGCAATAAATACTCCTTAGACTGGCTGACTCAGCTCACTAAAACAGCAGCACATATCTTAGCTAGTTTTTGTTTATTTTTCTTCATTTTTAGTGTTTTGTTTTTAGCTACTAGCACTAAAAACTGAGGGTTTTATTGCTGTGTTGAAATTTTGGACCAGTCTAGAGATTAATTCATTCACACATTTCCAGACGCTGTCAGTCATTGATGACAGATTCGAGTGGCTTAAGAAAGTCAGCCTGTACATAGAAAAATGGAGCACTGTGTAAAACTGTTGGAGAGGTTTTGTGTATAAAATGTCTCTTTCCCAGTTTTGTAAGTGCAAGCTGAGCCTTAGCTAAACATTGTTTCTGTTTAGCTACCAATTACCTGAAAGTGCAAATGGTTCATCCATGTGACAGACAACATTGGACATTTTAGAAATTGTGACACATCCAAAAAGATCATATTACATTAAAATGCTGTACATATTTACTAAGAATGGGAAGAAAAGTAAATTATTACATTGAAGTCAGGGACCAAATGTGTATTTTAATTTATTTCATATATCTGGATTTAGTTTCTATGGAGACATCTCTTCAGCCTTTGACGGCCAGTCTTTTCTTTCAGGTTCCCAGCTCGGCACACGAGATCCTCTACATTAAAGAAGAAGAGTATCTGTAGCCTGTAGCGACTGACGCCCAGATGATCGCAGATGAGCCGTGATTCCACTTCCTCCTTCCCGAACACCCGTTGTGACTGTAGTGCAATATTTAAGAACCATCACAAACACTGAGAAATGAGTGCAAGTCTGGCTGCCTGATGTAATGTATCGGATAAGACTGCCCCCTGCTGGGCGTAACTGGCACTGAGCCCCACATGTCAGCACACAGATGCACAATGGAGGAGCTGGCTCTTTCTTTTTACCGAGCTGATCCTTGATACCTTTATGTATGCAACACTTCTACATTGTACACTGTAGTGCATACTTGAGGAAGGAACTATTTTGTAGCTATCGTGTCTATTCCTGTGGACAGAAGATACGTGGAAGATGTATTTATATTGCATATATAGCGGTTTCATATCTGCATTCATTTGATTTACGTGTAGCTTGCCGACTATTGAGCAAGGGTAGATTTCAATTTAGCTAAATGACACAACTGCAATCCTTATCTCTAATTTAATATGATCTAGAAACAGTTGAGTGTTTGGTTAATAAAATATTCAGTAACAACATTTGCACTGAATCAGTCAACACTGAGTGGGAGCTTTGCCTTCAATTATTTCTAGTGTAATGTGTTGTAGTAATTACACTCAGAATGCTGTAATAAAACTCCTCCGTGCTGTAATAGTGCACATTTGTGGCCAAATGTAACACTTTGCATCCATGAAATGAGACTTGTGTTAAATAACCGTGTTTTTTGTGGTTAAACTAGTTACTGAATTGCTGTTATAAGCAAAGGAAGGAATCCTGTGGGACTTACAGGATGATTGTAGACGTTTTATTCCTGCAGCAATACACTTTCTCTGCGTTTTATAATGTTGTGTAGTGCAGTAATATTGTAGTCGTCTCACTCAGGTTATGTTCTAGGTTGACTTTTGTTTGTCTGTTCTTGTAGCTAACAACAAAATCATCTCTTTGGTTTATGTTCTGTGACAGATGATTAATCTGTGGAGTTTTTATATTAATTGTGATGACAGTTAAGCCTTTGCAAAATGTTATCTCAGTCTGCACCGTGATCATGGTCAGTCATCGTTCCTACATCCGATCATGCCACACTATAGTGTAAACATGTCATATTCAGTGAAATAAAAGTTTGTATTACACCTTTTTCCCCACAAGATGGCAGTGGTGACATATCATTCTGAGCCTACACAACACATTACAGCTGCATCACAGGCGGTCCATTTGTTCGTAGAGACACATTAATAGCCTCTTGACATTTAAAAAAATATTTAATTGCTGTTAATAAATCTATTTCACTTTTGTTCAGTTAAAATGACCAGAAACACTGTTGATAACTGCTGTTGGACGTGCATATGTTTGCTGCACAGCCACAGTGCAGATATCCTTAACCCCCATTGAAATGCCTTGAAATTCATTGTGTTTTGGTGGAGATGCGTTTTTATTATTATTATTATTATTGTATGATGATTCCAATTACTGTTGAGCCTCTTTGAATATTTCCATGTGTTTGTGTGAAAAGTAATAAAATAGGTAATTGTGATTATGTAACTAAAATAATGAAATACAGTTATATATTATATTGTTTACTATATTTAATAAGACTCAGGTCAAGTTTTTTGCACCACTGGACTAACAATGACAGCAGCAGTCTGATACGGTGATTCATGGGGAAGAAGATCTTTAGCATATGAAGTGTAAGGTGTCGACCCTAGCTTTATCCCCGACCAATCAGAGGATGTCATTTTAGTTGATTGCCAATATTTCTCCCAAGTCTTGGCAATCAGGGAACAAAGGAAATAATCAGTCTAATTAAAAACTCACAGACAAACAAGATTAAGTCTGGTTGAGTCTGTTTTGCCTGTCTTCAAATACAGTTAGGCTTTAGATTTAGAACTCAGGTTAAAGTAAAAGGTAAACCTTATATCTTGACTGTTTTCACAAGAAAAACAGTCAAAACAGTCAAAAACTGTGAGCTTTGCTCACTGACTGGGACAGGTGGGAGGGGACAGCAGGGAGACCAGGTGCCTGGAAACCACCTGCAGTGATCCTAATCCATCTGGTAGACAGTATGGCCAGCAGAAGGTTGTTACCAGGGACAGCGACTTCAGGTCAGTGCCCCTCAGCAGCTCAAAGGAGGGTGCTGAAGGGCGTCAAGGACCTAGCCTAGGTCCCACGGGGAAACCGAGGCCACGGCCCGCCTCTGGCTGGGACTGCAGGAACTGCAGGATGGCATCCGCTGTAGTCTCTTGGGGGTCCACTTGTGGACTGCGCACCTGAATATAACAATCCTGAGCGAGGGAGTAGGCAGCCCTGGTGGATCTGCACGGGGCTCCTGCAGCTCTAGCACATGGGCTGGCAGCCCTGAGTATGGAATTTCACCCTCTCAGGGGCTAGGCAGCTGCCAGAGCCCTGTGGGGAAGGGATAGGACAGAGATCCGCTCGCCTGGGACAAATATGTCCTTCCGAACTGGGAGCTCCCACAATGTCCCGGCCAAAAGCAGCAGAACACCGAAACAGAGAATATGTGGAGCCAGAGGGGGGGCCACTGGATAGATAGGGTCCTACAGCCATCCTGCTGATCCACCATTGCCTGTGAGACACCCACTTTTCCCATCTTTGCCCTAGGCATGTCAGGGAAGTGGAGACCAGAGTCTTCATCCTCCTCCTGATATCCACCCTACTGTCTCCTGCCCAAGGACAGGGGCAAGGTAGGGGCCACTGGAGAATAGGCCCGGCCTCCCAGCAGAGGGAAACTGCAGGTGGATGCCCTGGGTCATGAGCACGACGCGAGATACACCCCCAGAGCAGACCAAGCCACCCTGTGCTGCCCGGCAGAGAGGGAACGGCCAAAGGAAAGATGAGCCTCAGCTGCACATGCCTCCCTGTTTCTGGTGCATGCAGGTGCTATGTCTGTAAAAGATCTCCACCTTTGAGGTCCCCAGGGCCCTATGCTGGAACCTTAGAAGCCACCTGGTGTGTGGAAGACCTGGGCTCCCTTCTAATTGCAGAGCGCCTGAGCAGGCCACTTGTTATCTCTTGTGCAACACCGTGGCTGCCTCGAGCCTGTTGCAGGAGTTGGGCTGTCCCTGGGCCAAACATGACTGCAGAGTCGACAGACAGTCTCATCAGAAAGTCCTGGTCGTCCAGCTGGAGCTGGGACTGAGAGCCAAAGATGGCACCGCAGCACCCACAAAGAGGCCAAGGCACTACCTGTAGCGATAGCAGGCTCCTTCGTGAGGGAAGCCAGGTGAGCGGAGGCACCTGCAGATTGCCTATATCGCTGGGGTCTCCAGAACCTGCCAGGGGTAAAAGAAATCCTGCGAGACTGTTGAAACAGGCTCCCCACCACACACACTGTCACCACACACTAAACCACATACTGTACCAAACCCTGTACCGCACAAAGTACACAACCACTCACTGGAACAAGTGCAGATCAAGTGTCTTAGCCTCCTAAGACCCAAACTCTTTCATGGCATGCATTTTTAATTTCTCTTTGCTATTTCAGTTCAGTAATCATGTGGAAAACTTTTTATTTGGTGTCTAAACACAGCAGCATTTTTCCTGAGTACAAAAACAAAATGAGAAACAACAATTGTGTCCCTTTGAGCAATATGGCTCAATTGAAAGATATTTGAAAGAGCAAAACTGAGTATTGTTATCTTGACAACCCAAAATATGATGTCCCCATATGTGGACGCCATGTCCTAGGAGGAGAAATATCCACGCGACATGACCTGGGGGGGGGG